CAACCAACCCCCCTCTCGAACCAGGTGCTAGGATGAAGTGTTTTTCTCTATAAGGCTCCCCTTGATTATGCTTCCTTCTTTTTTTTTCACAAAGAAAGTCCCGCGGAAGGAATTTGTGTATTTAATCTCGCGCGACAGCTGCAAATGGCTCAATTAGCCTCCATCGCCTTTGTTCTCTTGGGCGCCGCGCGGAAGTGCAAGAAAGGGTTTGTTCAGCTGCCCAACACATTATGCTATATCCTCGGAATGCGTTGGGCAATCGCTTCTTGCTTATATACACGAGCGAGCCGCTCCACCATACCACAAATAGCCAGCGAGCGATGCAGCTCTCGAAATTACGCAGCTTTATGGCCGCGCCGAGCTATTCTTGGAAGCGCATTTCCAAATCGGAGAGCGCAGGTAGTCGCCGCGGAAGGAAGGTCACTCTTCAAATAACATGTTTTCGGCCGAAAATAAAAACAATAAGCGCGATGACAGCTCATTCGGTTTATTTTTCCAAATGCGGCAGGATTGGAAAAAAATTCAAAAAACAACACGGCCGCTTCCGGTGTCTGCACGGGTGTGAAAAAAAAATGAAAGGTCCCAGCAAGGTCCTGCGGATCGGACGAATTCGGGCGCATCTGCAAGTGAGATGAAGCGACGTGCATGCATAATGGGCGCGATCGAAGCGATATGCGCGATGTTTTATGCATAGCGGGCGGCGAGTCGGCGCTTGGCGGCGAGAGAGCGGCTCGTCGCGGCCAAAGCGGCACCGCCGCCGCTCGCACTCTCTCTATACATTTCCACACTCGCCGGGATGTAATTTGCTTTCGTCGTCGGCTGCCGCGGTTATTATCGGCGCAATTATTATTGCTGCCCTAATGAGCAGTGCATTCATTATGTAGCGCGCGGTCGCTCCATTAGCTCTGCGACGGGAGCCACATATATAGCCGAGCATAACCGCGCCGCACGGTGCGCGCGGCCGTATATAATTTGCGCTTTATCGGGGGCTCGGGTAATTATTGTCATTACTAATGTATGTGTGTACGACACGCAGCCGCAAGTGAGATAACACATACGCGCGGGTACGACGATTCCGAATTTCATTGGCGTATGGCATTTTGGTGAAAGTAGAAAATTATAAACTAAAGATTTTACTGAAAAAATTTATTTTTGATTTGCATAACAGACACTCAGCAATATATGACAACAATTATAGAAATTGTGACTTATTATTTATATATGTTTTATTTTATATAGTTTGAGCTTTAATATGTATATTTATTATATGCATGTTGCAATCCTCTAGCGAGAAGTTCAGAAATAATAACCTTTCAATTCAATATACTGATAAGCCAACTTATTGGAATGACAAATTTATAAAATTTACAAGTCCACAAGAAATTTAAAATTCTCAGCCAAAAGAACCAGAGATATGTTTATAGTTCAAAAAAATAATTATAATTAAAATCTAGCAAATTAATAATATTTATTTTAAACTTTATATTTTATTATAAATATAAAAATAGTAGATAAAAATAATACAAATTCGCACTAAAAATAGTTTTATATTTAATAGACTTACACAAACATTTTTTGCAATTTTTTTGTATACAATTTACGCTATTATTTTATGCTGCTTTTTAATTATACTTCTTGTTATGTAAGAAAAATCGCAAGTCAATACAGTCTGTTAATACAAAAATATATATATTGAATCGTATTATATTAATGAATGTAATATGCGTTTGTTAATCAAGTAAAAATACGAGAGTGCAAATCTTTTGACGTTTCAACGGAGAGAGCGGTGGTTCCGCTTGTCACTCGCAGCAGCCGAGCGCGGAGAGCGCACCCGCCGCTCACTCACTCCGCACAATATTTTGTTTCCAATAAAAAGGATAGGGGCTTCGCATCCAGTCCCCGCTTCCTATCAATCGCTTTGTCCCCCAGGGTTGGCCTGCACCCCCGCACCGAGCATGACGTCATCCTCCCCCGCAGGAGAGATCGAGCGACTACCCCCCTATAACCAAGAGAGTGCTGCATGCAATTATTCTCCACTGTAATGTGCGCGCCTCTGATTTCAAGCGGGTCTTTTTGCGGTCAAGTAGCAACTCCAATCCGCAAAAGATTTCTTCAAGGGGAGGTGCCAAACAATTTCTTATGATGTATTTATTGAAAGTTTTTGTTATTATTCTAGAATGAAAATCAGATAAAAAGATTTTTGAGAAATTTCTGACGCATTTTTTTTCTTGGAAAACTTGCCTGTCAACAATGATCCAGGAAGTTGTAAATATGCAAGAGGGAAGAAAGAAATAAAGGTCAGCATTCTTGTGTTCCACGCCTGAGAGAAAAAAATTGGCTCCACATGAGTGATTAGGCCGCTCACCCCCAGAGTCGTCGTTTCTTCTTTTTGTGTTGATTGTTGGCGTCGCGCCTCTAAACTTTCCTTTCACGCTCCCCACAGGCCAGCGTCTTTCCAAAAGAGGATTTCTCGGAAAAGCAGCAGGTTGACAATGAGCGACTAAAGTCCTGAGCGATCCAGTTCATTCTCCGCTTCTCTATACCTGGGAAAGGTCGTGCTACTTTTGAAAGGGTGAAGTGAAGTGTGCATTATACGAAATGCCCCGCCGCGCGCCTCCACGATTTTTCAAAAGAAGGATGTAAGCAGCCAAAATTCCTTTTGTGCGTACCTGTGCGATTTTTTTTATTGCACGCCGCGTCTGCTGAATAAAAATTGCGCGTCGAGAGACAACGCGCAGGCGACAAGCGAGGAATTTTCTCATCCCGAGAGACGCTCTCAAAATGTGAACATACGCGCCGATTCTTTAATATGGCTTCAGCTTTCAAACACAAACCAGCAGCAACACACACACACATGCATGCATGCATGTGGAAAAAGAAGTCCAGACGCGGAGCTGAATATTGTGTTGAGCAAGCAGAATGTAAAAATAAAGGAGAATAAAACACGTGAGTCAGCCTCCTGTGAGGATCATGTATGTAGAAAGTTTTTTAAAAGCGTCATCACAGCTAATTTAATCAAACTTTTATAACCAAGTAAAACTACACGTTTAACCGACTAAAAAAAAACTCTTATTAATTCGGAGAGATCATAATGAAATAATCAGTCTTTTAAAGTATGAAAGCTGAAACAAAATTTGATTAATCCCCTTTTGATAGTCAAATAAGCTGCAACAATTAATGGACTATACTGGATTGAAATTACACTTTTTTCATAGTCACAAGATTTCTTATTTGGCTTATCTAGTTGCAATTAAAAAAGATTGTAGATTAGTAATTATTTAAATAATAAATATATTAAAAGTGTTTTAAATAATTTTCCTCTATTTTGAACGATTTAAATCTATTTTGGCAAGAATTGCCTGAAGATAATCAATAAAGATACTTAGCGAACGCATATTATTTGAAAATCTTGCTCCGCTAAAGATCATTGAGTTTTAATTCATCAATTTTATATGATTAAGTCATTTTTCTCCGACTGTTTTTATGGATTTCAAACATAAAACAAACATTTACTGTTTATTTCGTGCATCAACCTCTTCAAGAAATATTACCGATGTCCTGAAATTTTTATAGACTTGCTCAATACACAATCAGGCACACATATGGTGTGTGCAAAGGCCAAAATATGGTGCAATTATTCACCGCGCACAGCACGGGTCTGTGGCCGCGCTTGTTCCGAGCGCTGACAAAACAAGAGCCGCTGATCAATGTGTGGTGCTCCAAATCACGACAGAAACACAGAGCCGCGCTTATTGCTGCCGGCAGCACGCAGTGTTCAAGTCGAAATAATACACATGTGCACGTTTTGTTGTATTTGTATGGTGTGTGTGTGTGCCAGTTGTTCTGTCAGGTGTCTGAAAACAATGTACATACATATACCGAATGGAGGTCAATTTACAAAACGCGCCGGCAGCGACCTCGTATTGAAAATATAAAAGAGAATTATAATTGATGCGATGATTTGCAAATGAGATCGCGCGTGGTTGTTCGAATTGGAACCTTAATTGATAGTTGATTTCAAACAGCAAGAGACTGAATTGTTTAATTGAAAATGCAATCAAATTAGAAGAATAAAGTGAACAAATTAAAAAAAAAATATTCTTACTTGGAATATATTTTATTAAAAAATTAAAAAATGCCCAAAGAATTACAAAATTATTATATTATAAGAAATATTGCTATTATTTCTGATGTTGACACAGACCAGGCAAGTCAATTGATGTAAATTTTAAATATTTTAAGAAATAAATAGATACAATAATTTTTTTAATTAAAATCAAATATAATTTTGCTCAGAAATAAGATTAATTTCTCTATCATTGATTTATTTGAGCGTGTCAAAGAACAAGGAGGCCTAATAACCGCTTTTGTATATTATGTATACTCGAAGAGCGTATCCGCCTCTTTTTCTCGTCTGCGGCACCGAGAGAGCGCCTTCCTTATGCCTGTCAATGTATTATTACATGCTTGAGAGAGCGGCTCTCTCTGCGCTCTCGAGAGCAATACAACATATACGATAGTGCAGAGCGAGCAAAGTAATGCCTCGGTCGCCGCGGTGCTGCTGCCGCCGCCGCCGAGAAGTTGGCAAAAAAGTGACCGGGCCGGTTATTCAACTATTACACTCGGGCTGCCATTCACATGTACTCCGAGAGAGAATCTGTGCGTTTCAACAGCAATAATAATATACGCATCGCTTGGCGCACATGCATCTCATATAATAGGCGACAAAAACAAGAAATTATTTTATTGATTTTAGTTATTAAAATGAAACAATCGCATATTGCGGTAGAGCATGTGCCAAAAAACTTCTCGAAATGACAAGCATGAAAAGAAATTTAATTTCCCACAATCTTCAAAAATGGGAGAGATCCGCTCAAAGGGGCAAGATCGATATTGGAAATAAATTTATTAAAATAATTGTAATTGATTTTAAATTACATAATATCTAAACCAAAATAACTCATTGCAAGGAAAAAATGAAAAAATATATGACAACTTACCTCAAAAAGGCCACGGTCTGCTGGTTTTAAAAACCTGTAAAAAAAAATAAACCATAATTAATTTATGAAAACAATTTAATTAAAGAATTTTTTAGAAGATATAAAATGGTATTATATTAATATTTTTTTGGTTTTTATTTCATTTACAAAAATTTAAAAACCCGCAATAGAGCAAATCAAGAACATTAATTTGCAGCTATTAAGAAAATTAGAATACACCATTATTTTAATTAAAAATTATAAATAAACCGACTGACACATGTTCTCTAATTAATATTCTCTTTATAAAATAAATGTATTTAGCAAAGTTGTGGCATTTAATTTAGTAATAATAATTGAAATTAATTGTAATTAACAGGTTAATTGCTTAAATAGATCAATAGTGACATTTTATTTCCGCTGTTCAAATAAAAGTACACATTTGTTTTTTGCTCGGCGCATCGATATGATTAATGAGCGTAATAACACCAAATGGCATATTGAAGCGCGCAACGCATCAGCAGCAGAAGGCTTTGCCGCGCGCATTAGTCGGCGGCTCATTAATAAATAAAACGGCGCTGACGCTTTTATGGAAACAAAACGCAGCATTTCGTAATCATCGCGCGCAGTGAGCATCGCGAGGCTCTCTCTGTATGTGTTATTTGCCGCCGTGTGCAATAAATCTCTCCCCGCTCGACTGCAGCAAGTGCGGGCTGTGGAAATAAATGCGCCTTTTTCGTCCCCCTTGTTATTTCGCAACCCCTGCTGCATGCATCCCCTAATGCACACACTTTAGACACACACGGTGATCACAGTAATGAGCGCTCAGTAGTGCAGCCGAGGCAGCGCCGCAGCCGCACGTCCATCTGAGCGCATCTGATCGAAAAATATGCAGGAAAACAGTGCACACATCCCATGGCATATAAATGATGCACTTGGGATGGAGGCAGCGCGGAAAGCAATGCAAAGATCCGAGAGATGAATTTATCATTGTGCATTTGCGAGGGAGGAGTTGCACAAAGGAGCGAGCGAATCTTTTTCGTCCAATGAGCGGAATTTTTGTATACTCGTCAGGGAAAAACTTAATTGTCACGAATTTTGAATGTAAAATATTTATATAAAAAAGTAATAATATTGCTGTCCTCATATGATATTGATTTGTATATATATAAAATCCTGAAAAATTTGGAAAGGGTATTTCATATTTTTGTCAATTTTATAATTTAATGCTATAAGCTTTTGAAAGGCGATAAAAAAAAAATGAAGAAAACGATATCACAAATATCCTCCATCTGCATTTTGCTTCTATTTTTTTAATATTCAAAAATTGGCACCGGGTCAGATTGATCTCAAGTAAATCATCTTATACCTAAAAAAACCTTCAATAGAGCACGCGAATGACCAAAATTTTAACACAAATGTGACAAATACAAAATTTATTTTAGAACGGAATTAGTGAGACTCCCAATATTATAATGCAAAAATAAAAACCGTCAACTTTCTTCCTCATTCGTCGTGAATAACTGCAAATATATTTTAAATAACAAAAAAAAAATGCGCTCATCATACTCATCAGATTTTGTGTTTGAAACACAAATTAAGTAATTATCAAAATTTTTATAGTGGATGATCATAAATTGGAATTCTCACTCATGCAATTGAATATTATGATTATGTTCATCAAATTATGTTAAACGTCTGTGCCAATTTTATTTTTGCAGATGATGTGAAAATTGTTAAAATATTTATAAAATATAATTAATTTATATGTCATTTATTTTACGTTAAAATATTTTTTTTTAATTTATTAAAAATTTATTACTTTTTATTGCAGAATTCGATTACTTTACAAGTAATGTAATTCTTATGTGTAGTTCAGAATAGTTCAGCATTTTTTTGTAGTTTAATTTTTATAAAGAATGACAAATGCATTAGAATAAATATATTCAGTACATTAATTGTATGTATCTCAAACATAACAGGTTTATTTTGATGTCATTAATTACTTATTCATGAGATTTAACGCAAAATTGATTTATTAATCCAAAATTAAACAGCAAATAATAAAAAAAAATTTAATTGAACCTAATGAGAAACCTATATCTGTGAAATCTGTTAAAAGATTTTTAATTTAAAAGGCCCGTGAAAAAACTGTGTAAGAATAATTTACTCGTAACCACCCTCGCAAACGTTTCGAACCGCTAAAGTGCTGCCACCGGGAGTGCCGAGGGTGAAACGCGGCGCATTCCCGACCTGCAATTTTATCTCCATCCCCCAGCAGCGACAGCAGAATTATTTTTAATCGGGGAATGCGGAGCGTAATAGGGCCTGTTTTCCATCACCACCCTCGGCGCGCGTGTAACTAGCGTGCGCAAGTGTTGTCTTGACAACCAGCCAAAAAGTCTCCAACGCCGCGCGCTCGTCCCTTCCCTCCTCTCGCTCTTTTTCTTTCTCTCTTTTTGGAAAGGGCGGAAGTGCATGTGCACGGTTTCTCCGCTTCCACCCTCTCTTCCACTCTCTCCAGTGAATGCGTCAAGTTTCTAATTTATATAACTCTGGGTGGGTGCGGGGCGCGCCTCCCCCGCACCCCTTCGGCTGCGCACACATCAGCTCTCGAATTATTTTGATGCTTTATTAATGTGTGCGGACGCGCACACGGGGACACACTAATCTCGTTTTATTAATATACATATCTCGGCGGCTCAGTAACCGCTGCACACTCTCTATGCATTGACGAGAGATGCATTTTGGAGTAGCCCCTTGCCTCACTATGGGTTTTGTGATTTAGCTGCACGCTACTTTGAGCAATTATGAACGACGAAGGGGAGCAATATAGGTGCTCATAAATAATTAATAATCTGGTGGAAACGGGAAAAATGAAAAATTGAAACCGGGCGAACCTCGTTGCAAAGAAAAAATGAAAAAATATAAAGGACAACTGACCCCAAAGGCGACCTGCGGTCTGCTGGTACTTTAAAACCTAGGGTTTCTTGTGTCCGACTAAACCTAAGTGGGAGGAATTAATAAAAAATTTAAATAATTTAAAAACGCAGAAAATTCTAGAGCAATCGAGTCAGCCAATTAGCGCGCCAGAGGGCGGTGCGAGCGGCCTCGCTCGGGTATAAAACCCCGCAGCAGCCACCGTTCAGCATCAGTCTCTCGGACTTCTCCGAAAGGAGAGGACCGGCACTCAGGTTAGCTGATGAGGCCTGGATTGGCCGAAACAGCTGTCCTAACCAGTAGTGCGGCAGATTACTGTGATTTTGCCAGAAAAGTCTTTGGGTTCATTGCCCTGGAAATTTCTGCCAAAATCACAGTATGAAGCTGTTGACTGACTCTTTTGCTTAATTAATTTCTGCAATTTTTGTTTATTAAAATTAAATCCTCCCATTTTATTTTTAAATTTTTAAATTTTTAAATTTTTTATTAATTCCTCCCACTTAGGTTTAGTCGGACACAAGAAACCCTAGGTTTTAAAGTACCAGCAGACCGCAGGTCGCCTTTGGGGTCAGTTGTCCTTTATATTTTTTCATTTTTTCTTTGCAACGAGGTTCGCCCGGTTTCAATTTTTCATGAAATCCACCTCGAGTGTTACCATTCAACGGGAAAAATATTGAAAATTTAAAAAAAAAATATAAATTGACTTATAAAAACATGTAAAACATATACAAAGATGTGAATTATATGAAAGTCCATGCATAAGTTTTAAATGGAAGATAATTTTCAAGTTCTAAGTCATTTTAATCTGTTTGATTTTGGTTGTATAAGAAATTTTTTTATAAAACGTATTAGAGCGAATAAAAAAGACAAAAATAAGTACAAAAATTTACAAAAATAATTGACCTTTTAGAAAAATATATAAAATCTTTTGACTATCTAGAATTTAATTAAATATTCTCCTAGCCACTTATTCAAATAAAAAAATTCAATTATCAAATATTGAAAATAATGTTAATTGTGGTGAATTGATAAATCATGATAAATAAATGCATATAAATTAATATTATATTAGAAGAGAAGAAGGTTAACCCTATAATCAAAAAACTTAATCTCTCTGGAAAAAAATAACACATTTTAATTGCTTAATATTTGTACTCATATTTAGAAAATGTTACATAATTAAAGAAAAATAATCGCATATAGAATTCAAAATCATTTAATGAACCAATTTAATAATAATATTAAAGTTTACATATTAAAACAAAATTATCATATGGCCCATCTGCAGCTTTCAAGCTCAAATTTGCGATTTCGACGGAAAGATAAAGCATGAGTAAATTCAAGAGAAAGGAAGCTCATTTTCATTAATATACAAAAAATATCCAACAAAAAGGGTGCCTATTAATTGGCATAATAACCAGATAAAATAACATTTTCATTCTAGTCTTCCTGAACATTCTCCAATTCGTATATACAATAATGTGAAAATTACAATATTTATACCTGTTTTATGATCAAACCAATTGTGTTTATTCTCGAGGGTACAATGTCGGTCGGCGCAGAATTATAATAAGCCGCATGTGCGCGCTGGCGTTTGAGATTATCCTGAACTCAATTTCCATTTTGATAAATTGCCTTGTTGCCACTCTCTCGCCTCTCTCGTCGTATTATTGCATCAAGACGTGCGTTCGCGTTTTTTCAGCTTGCGAGAGAGTTGCTCGCGCTCCTTCGCAGCCCGTATACGAGAAAAAAAAATAATAACACACGATTTTTATCAATCTCTCCTCTCACTTCGTGTTTGAATAAATTACGCATTCATCATATCTAAACAATGTAAGTGAGAGGCGCGCTCCATCATAAATCGCCGCGCGCACGCATATGCAAAAAAAAAAAAAACAACGCGAAATCCTCTTTCTATATTTTGCAACAGTATATTAAGTGGCAAATATCTCAATATCTCATGTAATAATTTAGGTTTTTCTTTTATAAAACATTTGCATAACTTTAAAAAATTGCTACGTTTAATGCAAAAGAAATTGCATTTCTCAAATATCGCGACTCCATTATTTTTTATTTCGATTTGTTCATATATTATATCCTTTTTAAATTTATAAATAAACACGAACTATATCAGTTTTCAATATAAGTTCTATTGGGTTTGATGCAGGTAACTTTGCTCCATTTAAGAACACATACCCAAATTAAGTAGAATGAAAAAATGGGAAAAATGTAAAATCAAAATTGAATTAAAAATAAAAATAAAAACTATAAAGAATGAAAAGAGATTTAAAATACAAATTCAAGTATAAAGACAAATGTGTTAAATAATATTTATCTTTTACTTTAAAAAATGTATTGCATTTCTTTTTTAGGATCCGTTAATTAATCCGTTTTAATTTTTTTTTTCATCATTTTTTAATGTCCCTTAGAGTGCTGGTTTATTATTAAAATTACCCATTCTGCAAAGAAAAACAGTAGAAATAAATGATATTTTAATGTTTCAAAATTTTCTACCCTTTTATTGAGAAAAAAAGTCAGGCAATTTATTAAGACCGAGAGAAAAGTTAACACTGCTAGATTGAAAAGTTTAAAATTATAAAACGCATTACATATATATTTCCAATATACAATCATACAATATCGCACGAAGCCACGCGGTGACGGTGAGGCTCGATCGCAGCAAAATTTAGCGCATGACCCGCTAATGAAACGCTCAGCACGTGATTTACAGGTGCACGACCTGGTAATTGGGCAACGCACGCCGCCGCATTTTCAACTGCTGCCGCGGTTCAACGTGTGTCTAATTAAATATTCATGTCTCGCGCAGATGAATAGACGCGCGTGGCCAGGCCCATTTTGCTACATTTATTTGTTTATTTATCATCTGACCGACTATATTACGAGTAGAGATATTATATATTATTTCTCTCTCGCGAGGTGAAATGAAAGCGAGCGAGCGACGACCAATCGATGCTTCAGTTTGTTTGTGCTGCAGGTGCTCGCATCAAAGCTGGCGGTGTTGCCCTCATTTCTTACTCTTCAAATGTCAAAAGTCTTTTACAATGCATGAATTTATTTTTTAAATTATAAATTATATCTGGTTGTGCGTAATTCATTTAATAAACTTTTCAGATAAATCAACTTTAAAAATAAATATATAACAACAATTATAATAAAACCATATTTTGTTCACTCAAACAATTTTTAAATTTTTTTTCAATTAATTATCTGTTCACAGATGGAAAACTTGTAGAACTTGTATAGACGGTCAGGACTAGATGGAACGATCAAGATCATGAATTAATAATTTTGCTAATACTAAACAATCTTGCTATGTAATTCAAGATGAAAAATACCGAGTGAATTTTGCCATTTGTCTAGTAGGGTAAATGTGATTTTTGCACTTTGTTCTTGATCTGACTTTGAAAGAAAAAAAAGTGTCATGAAAAGAAATATACAATCATATAATTTTATACTGAAAAATTCATGCGCGCATTGTATCCCATGACGAGCGCATATACCTCATGCAAAACTCAGTCGCTATATAAGCTCGCTAGTGTTGAGACTTTTGGGTTTGAATTACACGTGTTTTCAATGAAAATCTCGTTTAGGCTTTTTAGATTGCACCGCGTATATTAACCTTCGGCTGAAAAGTGCAAGATTTTACCTTCACACGTGGGTAGTAATAATGCCTTATCAATGAAAGTTGCTAATTATTTAGTCTTGCTTTAATCACGCTTCACTGTATGGGGAAAATGTTAAAATAACCCTTAAGAAGTTATTTGCACCCCTACAATCTCAGTTCGAAAAGGTTGCTCTCTGCAATATATTTCTTTAAGAGGCAAACCTTTTTCGTTGCAATATTTTGGCTGGTTTGATTTTTATTTAAGGACACTTTTTAAATTTTATATTTTTTTTGGAACCTTAAAAAAATATAAATTACATAAAAATGCAAAAGTACATTAAATGCAAAAAACATGTGGAAAAAACTTAACGTGAATTGATGCGAAGATAAAAGATTGTTTTAGTTTGTTCAATCAAAGATGGCAAGGATAAGCAGCCGATGGAGCGCTCTGTTTTGTCAACTTTTTTATGACTGATCTCTGAAATGGACAATGATATATAGAAGGCGTGAAAAGGCTAACCAGCTCGCTTACTAATCTGTCCGCGATCACTCTAATACCATTTTTTTTCGGCTGTTGTCATTTCAAAAGGATGGTTCGGACTAATATAGCGCTCTATATCTTTAAACACGCAAAAGGCTTCCTCGTCCGTTTTCATTTCCGCAGGCCGAGCTTTTTCTTAAAAAATATATATTTTGAAATATTCTAATAAACCATGATCCATGATAACAAGTCACATCCATTTTCCGTATAAATAGAATTGAGATGCATTGATATATTTTCATAAAATTCCCTGCAAAATTGCGCAAAATATTAGTATTTCGACTGTCCACAAACAAATTAAATTATTTTTTTACGCTTTGATAATGAAATGCGTTCTTCTTTTTTCTTTGCCAATTGTTCCTCATATGTATAGTAAGATAACTTTTGTAAAATATTTTCTTGTAATTTTCTACAAGTTAAAACCAAATAAGTTATTGATTTTAACTTTTTCTTTTTGCTCGATCTCATTTTTTTATTATACATATTAAATTTTTATCTTTGTGTTTTTGTGAGTCGTGTGTTGAATGGCAAGTGCAGTGCATATCACGCGGCGAGGGCGGCGTGATTTCGGTGGCGGCGCCAACCTGCGACTGACTCGAGAGGGCGGAAGGCTGGCGCGCAGAAAGGGTTGGATCGATGGGGCCGCGGGGCGCATGATTTCGCAGCGGCGCACCTGCGGCCGTGCATGCGTCGGCCGGCGACTGCAGGCGCCACAAGTGGTTCTCACTTTGAATTTATCGCGTTAACGGCGACAAAAGCACGAGAACTGCTGCGCCGCGATAATGATGCGACGAGATAAGGGGCGCACACATCCCACGCGCGCGCTTCCTCTCTTCATGAAATAATCGCGCGTGCTCGCGCGTCAGTGATTGCGGCAATGACGCGCGACCGCCGTTCCAATTCGCGCGTTTATTTCCGCTAGATTAAAATTTAGGAAAAGGATTTATCACTTTTTCTAGACGACTTATACAACGATTAAAATGTTATCATAGAAAAACGCATCTGCGTGACGACAATCACAATTATAAGAAGAACAAAAATGGTTTTTCTCTATTTGAAATCTGCGAAGAGCTTTTTCAAATTTAATTCCTTAAACCGAAAAATCATTTATCCTCATCAAAAAGTCTGCAATAAGAGAGATATTTGTATAAAATTTGCAAGAGAAAGCACACAAAAAAGATAAATATGCGAAAATTAATTTGATTTAATATAGAATGTGTTGTCGGTATTGTGCTTGAAAATAACTTTGGTGATAACCACGAAGTTCCTCAAATTCATCCTTACAACACGAGAACATTTCAATTAGGAACACTAATATAGCCAATGAGTGAAAATATATTAAAAGGAAATATTAAAGACACAACAATTCTAAAGCTCGTGCCGCAATGAATTTCTATTTTCCAGAACGAGAATGCTGATATAATATATATATTTGTGATTTATTTCTGTGTTTCAACACTTAAAATATGTTTGATTTGAATTTTAATTGATATATAACTTTAGTTTTACAACATTTTATATAGAAAAAGTTTTTCGCTTTTATTTTACCGCGGCTGTAACTCCATACAAAAATAAAACTAATATTGTTTAGTTTTAGTGTTTTAGTGTATTTTAACAATTTATAATTCTCAAAGGGACATCAGCTATTATATGAATGTGCGTTGACTGTAAAGACTGATAAGTTGAACAGAATTATTTCATTATAAATTTTCAATTTGCTGCATTTTGACATTTTTTAATTATAAATCATGTATATTAATTTATGATAATTATACACTTTTTATATAAACTTTTATAAAAAAAACTCAACTTTCTTTTAAAAGCAAACGAAAGTCAAACAATCCATTAGTTTCCCTCAGCAAAGAGCAGACAACTTTTTTTTATATTTCTTTGCTCGCAAATGAATTTTGGCAGCGTAAAAACGAGACGACGAGCTCAACTAATTTATTTGCCAGCACGTTGAACGCGTTTCGTCTCCCTTTTGACGCGCGGAGAACTCAAATTTATAATATGCTGTTTGTTTAGCGCGCCTGCTGCTTTTCTCATTTTCTCGCTTCGGCACGCTAAAATAATAATGTATAAAAAGCAGCGCCTTTCTCACTCTCGGAAAGGTGCTGCGGATGAGCGGCGCGCCGGAGTAATAAACGATGATCGTGATTATGACGATTATGACTCCTCCCCTCAGCACTCAGGTTTTTTATTCCCTTTTATATATTTTTGCAGAGAGAACGCAGCTCCCCCTTCATCTGGTTGCGTATTTTTTATGTTTTCATTGTTTCGTCTCCCCAGAGAGATCGAGATATATACGCGCGGCCAAAGGGACAAAACGACTCCTATTTGCACGCTTATGACAGCATAGAGTGGTATATTATAAAGTATGCAACGTGCAGAGCTAAATTAAAAAACAAATTTATTAAAAAAAAAAAAAAAAAAAAAAAAAAATGGAAAAAATGGAAAAAGTGAAGTTTGCTTAAAAAGCAGCTAATGCTTTTGATTTATCATTTTCATATTTTTTGTTTAAAAGAAAGTATTGATAAAATGTTAATTTTTAATTTTAATAATGTTAAATAGGTGCAGAAATTTAACAAATTGCATAAATATCTATGAAATTCTTAAAAAATTATAACAATATCTAGTGCAGAAATATTTTTGCACAAAACTTTTTAATTGATATGAAATGAATTAATTAAATGACAAAAATATCGATGATATTTACAAAATTGAGAAATTTAATTATTTATACCATCAATGAAATTATTTAATCAAATCAAATCAATTTGGCTTGACCAGTTTGTCTATGGATAACTTTTTTAGAGTAAACTAAACTATAAAATCTGTTGTTTTGCAAGATTGAAAATCTGTTTGCCATACAAATAATGCGGCAGCGACTGGCGCATCTCTCTTTTCATTCTCTCATCGCGCGCGCACTGATGCTCACCGAGGGTTTTGTGCGCGGCCGACGCTGAGGAATGCGGTCCCTTATCGCGCTTTGAGTCGACAAAACTAACTAACTATATTCCCTCTGTCAAGTAAACACACTCACGGAATGACTGACGAGTGCTGGGCACAGACCGCGCAGAATGTGTGTTTTGTGTTTTTTCAAATGCAAACAATTCAAACGCAGGCGGCCAAATGAAAAGGCGCACATATTGGAAGATGACAAAGAAGAAAATAACATAAAAGACACAAGAGAGAGGTGAAAACAAAAAGAGGCTTTCTAATTTGGGATGAACTGACACTCTTTTAAAGTTATAAGGAATTTGATGTATATATAAATTATTTGTTATAGAGAACTAAGTTAAAAGTAAAAGATATGCAGAGAATTATTTAATTGCCTCAATAATTCTTTAGATGCGGAAAGACCTTCATTATTCATTAGTTTTTTAGTGAAAAACAAATTTTATATAGTTATCAGAGCAAGAGATTAGAGCGTTTTAGCTAATCAATCAAAAACATCGTAAAATTAACGAAATGAAACATTTTAATATAATCAATATAATTAAATTTAACAAAAAAAAGGGAAAATTTTCAGCTAGGAAATCAAAATTTCTCCCAATTGCTTAATTGTTATTAATGTGCTTGTGTATGTTTCCATTTTTCAGAAAGCAGTATCCAGGTTTTTTTTCTCTGTTTGCCGTAATTTTCCACGTTTTAATGGTTTTTTTTTTTAATTTTTGAGTCATTAAAAGATTAATTTCTTAATTAAGAGATAAACTTTTGAAATGTATTCCATTCTTTAAAGTCAAGTTTCTCTCTCAATGTTTAACTAAAACTACTCATATCGAAATTTATTTTTATTTTTGCTGCTCTTTTATCATTTTTATTTTATCGTCTCAACAATTCTGATGCAATCGTTTTGCTGGCGAATATAAGAATCGGAGCAAAAAAGCACTTGACAGCACCAGAAGTCCCACACGCTCTGATTTTCGCGAGAAACCAGCACCGGAGGCCAAATTGAATAACGCGCCGACCTTCCTTGTCAGCTAAGCGCAAATTGCGTTAAAAAGAATTGAGAGCGCAAAAAGGCGTCAAGCGTAATTGCACGACGAGAGCGGGCGAAAAATCGACTGGCCGACTAACTAGGCCATTCAAATCCATCATGATCGCGCCTTGGAAAGAAAGAGCGCATTATTTTCTGACTGCGGGAGAAAGAAAGACGACGAGAGAGAACCACCACGGCACACACACACTAATAATAATAATAATCGGCGCGAGGTTG